TCTCTTTTGTGATCCAGGATGAGCCTTTGCAGAAGGCTGCGATTAGGGCTAGAGTCTGGTGAATAAAGCCCCTTACCTTGGGCCCATTAGCACCATGCTGTGTGCTTGAACTCACTTATGGCCTCACAGCTGATACTCCATTCCAAAGGAGAACTGTTCATATCCTTTGATTGCTTCTCTATGGGGAAATGACTTTTGGTCTTGTACACATCTGTCAGTTTTCTACTAATTTCTACTAACCCTTATCTGAGGAATTTGATATAAAGCTTTTTCCCCTTTCAACCACTTCCTTTCTTATTCTAAATGTATTAATTTTGTTTGTGCAAAAGCTTTCCAATTTCCTGTCATCAGAATTATCTATTTGACCTTTAGTAATTGCCTCTACCCCTTGTTTGATTAAGAATTAAACTTTTACTCATACATATGAAAGTTATATGATTTTATTCTCTTCTAATTTTCTTATTGTATAAGCATGAATATTGAGGTGACTTATCCATTTTGGATTGACTATGGAATATGGTGTACCAGGCTGATTTAATCCTGTTTTCTGCCAGGCTGCTATCTAGTTCTCCAAATTTATCAAATAGGAAATTCTTTAGTTAATTTATTTAATTCTAAGTAATTTATGTTTTCAGGCTTATTGCAACCTGGACTATGGAGTTCCACTGTTTCTGATTCTCCCTTGTCTAGTCTTTTCCATTGATTGGCTTTTCTCTTTTTCAACCAATCCCAAATGGTTCTGATGACTGCTGCTTTATAGCTTATCACCCTTCATTCGTACTATATTTCACTATTTCTCTCGATATCCCAGATCTTCAGTTTGTGGTTAGTTTATCTGGCTCTGTCCTCCGGTGCTTCATCTTTTCATGTTACATGTGCCTCCGTGCCTTTTTGCTGTCCACCAATTCTGGAAGGCTTTCTCTTCTCACTGTTGAATCCGGGCTTTAGGACTCAGCTCAAATCTCACTTTCTTCAGGTCTGCCCCAGTCCTCCTAGATGCCAGTGCCTTTCCCACTCTGAGATCTGTCTGTAGGTACTTTGTATGTCTCTGC